GATTTAACTTGTTTATTTTTCTTTCTCTCTCTCAAGTACAGGAAACTTGTGCAACAAGGTCATGACTCTTAAGGCTAATATTTCCCTCCCTTACTCAAGATCTTAGCAGTGTGGATATACTGTACTCAGAATACTATATAAGTAGGAGTTGGCTGTGGGTCAGTTAGTTCACATTGCATTATAGCAAGAGAAATGATGGGTGTAGGTAATGTTAAACTCAGTAGGATCACAAGATACTTTGGATGTGATTTCAAGGGTAGGATTGTATTCAGAATGAAGTTGAGAACAAAAGGGATGATTCTGAGGGCACTATGGTGTACATTTTAGCAGTTGTTAAATGAAGATTAGGAATATCCATTTTGTTAATCCTTCAACTGCAAGTAATAAAATATGGTTGAATGGACTTCAATTTGTTGTAGAAAGAAGAACAAAAAAACAATGTTAAACTAATGTTTACATAGAAAAGACTATTGAGCCCAATATTGCATATATTTCAGCATATAGTAGTGAAAGGTTGGGTAACAGGATTATTAAATTAGTTAAATTTCCTTGAGAAGGGAGGAGCATAGAAAGGAGAAAAGACCTGAAAAAAATGAATTTTAGGGAATCAATCATTACATTTGCTTCAGACTTGTTCATCATAGTTCTTAAGAATGTCTGAAATTTGGTATGTGATAAATGTAGGTTGCTTGGAAAGCATCAGCTGGCAACTGATATGCTTTATTAACAATTTTACATTTAAAATTGTAGGGGTTTGCATCTAGGATTTCGATGGCAACCATTTTTTCCACATGTGGATGTATAACCACTGTGTAATTTTGCTAAAATTCCAATATTATGAATATGGTCTGTCATTTGCTTTAATGCTATGTGGCCTCTTCAGGTGACCAAAATGAGCCATAGTATCCTCTGCCTAACTGCAGCACATTGCTTTTGTAAGGGATGGGACATCTCTAAATATCTTTCAGGTATAGAAGTCTTCACTATTTCAGCAAACAGTGAGAGTTATGGATGCCTGTCTGACTGCACTGAGCTGATGATCTGAATTACAATTGTCTCCTTAATAAGTTACAAAACCTCATTAGCATTTTTTGAAGGGAACTCAAAAACCAGCTGGGTTTGTGTATAAGAATACTCATGTAAATCAAATTTTGTAAAATCTGATTTGTGTTTTTTTTTTTTTTATGACAAAAAAATCATCTTAAAATATTCACTTGCTATATGATTTAGGCATTTTTACAGTAAAGAAATACTCAGGAAAAAGAACAAAGAAATATGCATTCATAGTTAATCACTTTAGAAACATTAAAAGCAAATAGTTAACCATAAGAAGCTAAGTGATGACAGAACACCATTGCACAATTGTGATACATAATAGTGGAGTGTTCAAGTTAAAAAAAAAAGAGAAAAAGAAAATAGACACACTATATTGTAAAGTTCAGATATCCTTTCTCCTGCTATCACAAAGTATATAATGGTATTGTATTTGTGTTTCATAAAAGAAATTGGTTTACTAAGAGGCGAAAGTTTAGTGCCTTTCAAGAATATTACTACATAGTAATATGGTTTGATCTTTCATTGTTCAACCAAAATTGTCTCATTTGTGGAATGATTTTTTGACTGAAAGATTTAGCAGGTGCTAATAGAAGTGCCAATTAAATTATGTACAGTTCTCAATTACACAGTGAACCTATGTCCAATTCCGTTTTGTTTTGCTTTGGGATGTTTTTTTCATGAATCCAAGTTCGTAAATATGTAAGAAAACGTCAGATGGGGTATTCTTTACTCATTGTAAGTAATGTATTCCATGCAGTTACAGTTTCTGTTTATGAATAACCTGGATATTGTCTGCAGAAGTATGGAAAATTCAATTCATATTCCATTAAGAGAAGTAAATGAAGAATGTTGTTGGATATTAAATCTAATTGTTTAGGAATTTGGTATCAATAGAAAATTGGGAAAAAATAACTTGTACATTTGCACAGATGTCAATGAAAGAATAATTTTTAAAAATATTTTTTTATATTGGTTGAAATGGACAAATTAATTAAGAAATAATGATAAGTAATTTTAATTGCTGAATCAAATTATGTGCACACATTTGGAGCTTAAGGATCCTTATTGTATTAATGTGTGTGATTGGGTTTTGTACTTCAAAGGTTCTGTTTTGTAGGTTTTGTAATCACCCAATCCATCGGAGCCCAGTTTATGCTTTTGTAGTATTATTGGTAATATAGTTATCATTTGTATGATCATGCTTATTGTTCTCTTTATTATCATTTTGTTTATGGTCATTATTATTAATAGGCATTTATTTTTATACGTGTTTGGATCTTCAGAATTTTTGTATAAATTATCAGTCACACACCATTTTCACGTATTCCTTAGTGGAGTTTATCTTTTTCTCAGCGTGGAATATGCTGCTGCTTGGGCCAGGGCTACTGCAGTCTTGTATCATGTTGTAAATATGTAAAAGATTTGTAATAAAAAATGTTGTTCAGTTTCTGTTTATTTTATAAATCACTTATGTATGTTTCTCATTATTCTCCTGACTGCTGCTACTATTATTATTATTTTTATTATTATTATTATTATTGTTATACCCCCCAATCCCTTGCCCATTGTTGTCGTGGGTGGGCTTAGGAGGAGGAGACTGGGACCCAATGATGGGGAACTCCCCAACCTTGGGACTCAGCCCTCGCCTCAACAAAATTTGCATAGTCTTTTTTCCACTCCTATTTTTTTGTTTTTCTGTCCCTTCACCAATCCCTTCTACTATCCACTTCCTAAGGTGTGAGAGCCGTGCTGAAAGGATGAAAGTCCTGAATGGCCTGAGGGAGCCATGGGCATGGTATTCCCCTGATTTAGTTACCTAGGCCTACTACAGTCCTAAGAGCTGCCCATGCAGCTATTCCTCGAACCTCAAGACCCTATACCTCCAAATGTGCTCCATGGTGAAATTCTGATTGCACTAAAGCACTTCGCATAAAACGTGCAGCCTGGAACAGTTACCGCTACAAACGAAGTGCCCCAAATCAACTATCAGCCCTAATCTCCTTTAAAAGAGCATCTGCCTGCCTTCGTCGTACAATCCAGAATAGTAAAACAAATAGCTGGTGAAATTACATCCTCTACATCTATCTTAAATGTTTGGCGCCGAATCCATAAACTATCAGGCAAACATCCTACACCATCCAGCCCCCGTCCTCCATATTCAAGATACCATTATTTCTGATCCTCTCCAAATCGCTAATGATTATTTCAGCCAGGTGAGTAGTGGTTCTCCCCTTTCTCCACACTTCTCTCCTATTAAGACCATCAGGGAACGTACCCCCATTATCTTCACCCTATCCTCTGGTGCGTCCTATAATGCTCCTTTTCTTCCTCTGAACTCATTGCTGCCCTACAATCGTGCCGCAACACTCATGAAGGCCCTGACGGTATTCACTACCATATACTCCGGCAACTCCCATCTTCTTCCTTATCCTCCCTGTTAACAATTTACAACCACACATGGACATTAGGAAATTTTCCTTCAAATTGGCGAGAAGCTCTAATCCTCCCCTTCCTGAAACCCAATAAATCGGGTTCCCTCCCTCAAGACTTTCGCCCCATCGCACTAACTAGCTGCTTGTGCAAACTACTAGAGCGAATTGTTAACCTCTTGCTTACTGTGGTATCTTGAATCTCACAATCTTCTCTCTCCTTCCCAATTTGGTTTTTGCCGTGCCCGAATCACAACTGACCCCCTTGCTCATTTTGAGACACATACTACATCCGCATTTGCACGCCATGAATCAGTACTAGCTATATTTTTTTATCAAGAAAAAGCATATGATACGACATGGCGGCACCATATTCTCCAACAACTGTCCTCTCTAGGCATACGTGGAAACATGGGTGTCTTCATAAAGTCTCCTCTCCCAACGCACTTTCCAGGTCAAAATTGCCTCTGCCACATCATCTTTCTTTCCTCAAATTGAATGAGTCCCAAAAGGCAGTGTGTTCAGTACCACTTTATTCCTTCTTGCTGTCAATGACATTGTCTCAGTTCTACCATCAGGAGCCCGCTCATCACTATATGTTGATGATTTAACCATCTATGCCTCTGGTACATCCATACCAAATCTCTACTAATTTCTTCAGTCTGCAATCTCATCAGTATCTTCCTGGGCCACAAACCATGGCTTCTGCTTTTCTACCTCTAAATCTTTCTCCATCCTTTTCTCTCGCACACGTGTAGGTCCCCTACCTCCACTCTTCTTATATGGCACTCCACTCCAATACCGTTCCTCTGGTGTTATTTTTGACTCCAAACTGTCCTGGCGAGACCATATTCTTTACATTAAAGAAAAAGCTCTCTGCCGTCTTCGAATCTTACAAACACTATCCCATATATAATGGGGCTCAGATCGCAGAACTCTCCTTCATCTTCATGTTACCTTGATCCTCTCCACTCTCAATTATGGATGCCATATCTACTCCTCTGCCTCAACTTCTCTCCTTGCCCATCTTGACACAATCCATCACTGTGGTCTTCGCTTAGCCCTATGCGCCCTCCGCTCCTCTCCAGTTGAGAGGATGTACACTGAATCAGGCATACCATCTCTATCTCGACGCCGTGCCCTTCTCTCTCTCCGATGTTATGCTCAATTCCACCAACTTCCCTTCACTAAACTAACTATCCCACAATCCCTACTTCCTACCTTTGCTTCATCTCCACGTTTACCTACTCCTTTCTCCACTCGCATGGATACCCTCCTCTCCCATTCCCCTTTTCCCCATCTCCGACCTCTCCCGTTCTCTGTCCATTCTGTCCCTCCATGGCTTATACCTTACCCCCATATTTGCTCTTCTGTTTTCCCTGACCCACCAAAATCAAATAATCCTCCTGCTGTCTTTCTCACCCATTTCCTTGACCATGTCTCCACTCATTCCTCCAGTATTCACGTATATACTGATGGCTCCAAATCCACCTCTAGTGCTGGTTTTGCAATAATCTTCCCAACTCGTATTTTCAAATACCCCCTCCCTCCTGAATCCAGTGTCCTTACTACATAACTGTATGCACTCCTTTTTGTCTTAAAACACATATACTCACTCCCCTCTTCCTCTTTTATATTTTTTACTGACTCCCTTTACTCATTAACTCTCATAAAGTCAATACACACCACCAACTCCCTTGTTTGCAAGATCCAGAACTGGTTTTCTACCTGTCTACACGCCATGAAACACTCAAATTTTGCTGGGTGCCCAGCCATGTTGGAATCCCCGGCAATAAACAGGCAGATAATTAAGCACGCTACGCCGCTATGTCTACATCCCACCAACCACGTTTCTCACGTCTCCCAGCCACGGATTATTACCCACACCTTAAGACCTTCTTGTATAATCGATGGCAATCTGGTCAAGTCTGGGCACTAATAAATTACATACTGTAAAACTAACAATCTCCTCCTGGTCAGCTCCATTTCATCGGAACAGACGTTGGGAGACGGCTCTCGCCTGCTTATGCATTGGCCACACCCGTCTAACACACTCCTAACTGATGTCACAATCCGATCCACCCCTATGTTCCTTATGTAATGTTCCTCTTTTAGTCCCACACATTCTGCTGTCATGCCCACGCATTTAAGCAGCCCGTACCTCTGCTTTCCCCCACCTATCCTCCCTTCACCAACCTCACAACCTATCAGAAATCCTTACAGAATCTCACACATTCTGCAAACTGTTTTCCGTCCTCAAACGCATATATATCCTTCACTTAATCTAACCCTTTTACATTACCTCATCCGACCTTAACCCATTCACTCACCAATTCCTTTGCCCAGTTTTGACAACTAATCACTAACTCAACCACCCTTCACTAACATTTACTATAGTGCTACAGACCTTAGATGTCTAGCACATTTATTTTGCTTTTAACCATTAACCATTATTGTTATTGTTGTTATTATTATTATTGTTGTTGTTATTGTTGTTATTATTATTATTATTATTATTATTATTGTTATTGTTATTGTTATTGTTATTGTTATTATTATTATTATTATTATTATTATTATTATTATTATTATTATTATTATTATTATTAATAGGAATCATGGCATAAAAAATAGGTTATTAATCAATAAATAACAAATCATTATCTAAAAGGGTTTATTATGCTTACATGTGTGAAAATATACTATATGAAGTAGGCGAACACAATAAAGAAATGTTCAACTGAAATACCTTTAATAACGATTTTACATGAAACTGATACGGTTCATATATTTTGTACTGGAAATATGAAAATATATATCAATTATGTGTAAATGTCAGACATCTATGATGAATCGACAATCTGAACTTGCTTTTAATACTGCTATTCTAATAAAGTTACCTGGAATTTCAGAGAATTACTGTACTAAATGAGGAGCATAGATTATGTTGGGTATGGCGACACCAACTCAAGAATGGCATTGTTCATACATTATGATGAAATGACTACTGGCCCACATTAAATGGATAATTTAATGTGGGAAAAGGCAAACCGGTACACTAATATTCAGCCGACCTGATGAAACTTCATTTGAGATTATTACAACTTCTGATTCTCAACCAAGTTCTGAACCCTGTGTCTGCAGCTTCCAGTAGGTTCCAAAGCTTCAGTCAAGGTATTGATTGTGATTGCAACATTCAGTGTTAAATGTATTTGTATAGATAATTAAATAAATGTGAATGCTGATGTAAATAAAAATAAAGTGGTGAGCGAAAAAATGCATTTGGGTTGCTGCTAGCGAGGCTGTATGGAGATGCGCACAGAAACGTTTTTCGAACTAAAATATTTTACTTTTATCGTCACATTAGTGTCATTATAATCTTCACGATCAGATTACGATTATAAGTTGGGTTTGGTGGATGCTCGTTATTTCAGGATTTATCTGGGGTGTTCACTAACTACAATGCCTCCGAAAAACTGGTGAGGCTGGTTGGTTCTGTGGGGACGTAAGGGGGCGTGCGCGCGTGCTTTTGTTTCGCTTCAGCCCCTAAATCCGCCTTCAGTCCTTACTCCTCCACCGTCAGCCCCCACCTCCCTTACCTTTAGTCTCTAAATCCTCCACCGTCAGCCCCTACCTAAACCCTCTGCCTTCAGCGCCTTATTCCCCGGCCTTCAGCCCTTAAATCCTCCACCTTCAATGCCAACTCCTTTCTTCCGCCCTCCACTTTCACCCCCCCCCCCCACCATCAGCCCCCAACCCCCCACCCTCCTCTCAACAACCAAGACCGGGAGAGGTGATCAATGAAATGCATTCTGACAGCGCAGGTACTCATCATTATAAACCATTGTCGTTCGCTACAGCTCTCCACCGTTTCTTTCTCCCTGTTTCTCTCTAAATCACCTGTTCTTTCACTCATTCGTCCTTCTCTGTGTCTCTGTTCCTTTATTTTTCCCCGTAGTCTTTTTTCCAAACTATTTCTGTAACTGAATTTGCTCATTCATTGATTTTTTTTTTG